CCTCCGGCGAAGGGCCCCCAGGCTTGCCCAAGCGAAGGCCTTAATGTAGGGGCGTTAAGAATTAGAATAGGGTTTCGGGGCTCATTATGCCATACTTTTAATAAGGAACCCCCAACAGAGTCGGTGTAATTATTTAGGCCCCTATGTTAGAGCAGCCTGCTTGCCGCAATCTGAGCGAAGTCACGCCGTGCCCAAAAACCTCAAAGCGGTGTGTGGAAAACACCTGGGAGTTCGACAAACTGAAGGTTCCCCCAACGGCTCATACTCGAGTCGAAGTTTATGTCTACCCTGGTGGCCCTGCATTTGCAGAGAGCTCCCTAAGCTGTAACCAGAAACACTAGACAGAGTTTAGGGCTTGGGATGGTGCGGATTCTGGGGCCTACGGTCACGTTTGACCAAACGGCCAAAGGACTCCACTGACATAAGGCCCGAAACTTCATGCTATAAGGTGCACAAGCCCTAGGCCGTCATAGCATAACCTTGAACCCCAACCCGTCAGAGCGAACTGTGATGCATGCTCGGTCTACATTTCACTACTACCCTGAACAGTAAACCAACATAGAGATCTCCCAGATTTCCCGCTGGTCGTCATGGAATCGTGACTTCAAGAGTCAGGCATGTCAAGTCAATGGATTCAGCAGGTCTCCACCGCCAAGGCATAGGGGGCTAATGTATCTCCTGGGATCTACTGCAAGTCCTAAGGATCACCCAAAGGCAACTGTGAGTATCTCACACTCCCGGGCTCTTGAAAGCGGATGTCGCAAACGACCATACGCAGGGCGAGTCGGAACTATACTGAACTTAGAACCCCAGCACAAATTGTAATCTCAGCTGTTTCTTAGGGATCATAATAACCAAAAATTGAAAATTATCTCTAAGTACCCCTAAGGGAAACTAGAGCCTCCGAGAGCTCCGTGTGTACAACTCTGTGAAGTCTCGGGGTCTTGTCTGGGCGGTTTCGGGTGTAGGGTTTTCCGCCTAGGGCTGCGGGTTCAGCATGTAGGGTTCGGGGTTTGCGGTTCAGAGTTGATGGTTTAGGATCTGGGGTCTCCAGGCAAGGCTAGTCCATGGTTGGAATAATACTACGCATCTAAATGTCGCTGAGTTCTTGGGTTAAGTTCCCGTAAACATGTAAAACGTTGCCCAACTATGACAAGATTTGGGGTCTCCCCTAAACCCTACGGGTCTTCAAGGTGTCCTTGACTTGACAGCCTCGCGGCAATCGCATGAGGGGCCCCCAGGAGGCTTCAAAAACAATCTTGGCACTGAAGAGACTGGATCACTGCAGCCCTACCCCTTAAGCTTCTAAGCCCTAAACCTGAAACTTCAAAATCCTAAACCATAAACTCCTAAGCCCTAGGACCTAAACTCTAAACCCTAAACCCTCAACTGTCGTGTTAGGCCTCTGGCCTTGGAAGATGATATACAAGCCCTACCCGTACCCCCCCCAAAAGACTATTTCCCTGAGGGTTTAGGTTTAGCGCCTAAACCCCGAACCCCATAAAACCATAAAACACACCCGCCTATACCCAAAAAACCTCGAAACCCTACAGATACTGTGCTGCCGCCGGAAATAGCCTGACGCCTTGAAAATGAAGCCTCAGCCGCCAACCCCGAATTCCTTGCCAGGGCATATGTTTCGGCGTAGGACGTCGGGTTTTATCCTTCGGGGCTTATGGCTGCAAGATGCAAGCATAGCGCTTGGGGCTTCCGGGTTTAGGGGAAGTGCCCTACTCACAAGTATCCAACCACAGCAAAAGAAAAAATCGAAACCACTCAGCACTAAACCCAACGGCCCCAGGCTTTGCTGATTCCCGTAGATCCCCAACTATTGCTACGATTAGAAAACTCGTGGTATTAGTACTTCTGATGTATTGTGCTTACAATTACTACAGTGCTGTTAATGTTTGTACTCTTTCTATTGCTGTCACTGTTGTTATTGCTATTGGAGTTCTTGATACTGTTATTGCCGTTATTCCGGTTATTGTTGTTCTTGCCGTTCTTACTCGGTTCTTGTCACGTGTAGTCTTGGTATTGGTATTGTTCGTATGGCTGTTAACTGTTATTATTACCATTAGTATTCCTATTGTTCGAACTGCTACTGCTGAGAAAATTACTACCGTTACAACTACTGCTACTGCTACTGCTACTGCTACTGCTACTGCTACTGCTACTGCTACTGCTACTGCTACTCCTCCTCCTCCTCCTCCTCCTCCTCCTCCTGCTGCTGCTGCTGCTGCTGCTGCTGCTGCCACTACGACGGCGGCTACTCTTGCTGCTGCTGCTACTACTACTGTAATTATCATGCAACTATTTTCATACTATTCTGAAGATCATTAGTGAACATATTGTGATAACAATAACAGTGAAAACTGCCGAAACATGTGTGGCATTACTATTACTACTGTTATTCTTATTATTACTACTTCTACTTCTACTTCTACTACTACTACTACTACTACTACTACTACTACTACTACTACTACTACTCCTACTACTACTCCTACTACGACTACGACTACGACTACAACTAGCACTACTACAACATTTACTTGTTTTACTGCTGTTAATGTGAGTATGACTGGTCTGATGATTAATGGTACTATTACGTATGATTACATGCGTTATTCTCCTTGTTACTATTCTTAGTAGTCGTACATGATTATTAATATTGTTGACGCGATTGTTAATTCTACCCTTATTGATACTACTTATGGTACTAGTGCTATTTTTGTTCTTTTTAGTATTACTATTAATATCAGTATTAGTGTTATCGTGCATTATAATAACCATTAGTGTTGTTATTATTATGGTTGTCATTACTATGATCACTATCATCATTACTGTTCTTATTGGTGATACGGCTGTTGTCAATACTCTTACTATTAAATTGCTACTACGATTAGTCTTACTACTATCTATCCGCTGTTAGTAACCCTTGATCCTTCAAGCAGTCGCCTGGCGCCTGCTGCCAGCGGATGCTCTCTTCTCCAATAACTAGGCCCAAACAAAGTTCAAACTTTTTAAGCTAGACCAAATATATGAAGCCAAAAAGTTTATAAAGTTCTCCAATAGGCTAAGTAGGGATGTCACTGCTTCAGAACCCAAATCTGACCAAATTTCTGGACTCGGGGACTGGGGGTTGAGGGGTGTTGAAACTAGGCACGCTGAGGTACCGGTTTAGGGTTTAGGGTTTAGGGTTTAGGGTAGGGCATTTTCAGACAATTGGTGTTGACTGGTAAGATCCTAAACTGCATTGCACGAAGTTAAGCGCGTATGCACGGGCACGGATAACCAACTAGGCGCTTCAGTTCCACGATTTCAGGGCGGCCGGGATCCAGTCATTTGCCGCCAGGCCAAGTCTACGCAAAACTCTCGAACGAACCGTTCTTTGCGGAGTGTCCCACTGTGGGGCAGCAATTGACGGAGCGCTGAATGATGGGCTTGTTGGCTCGTGCTTTGAGAGTTACATCTTGATTGCAACGGCTGCTGGGGAAACTACAAAGCCTACACCTTACCAAGTGGGGTCCCGTTCAGTTTGAAACTCTGTCAGGAGATCTCCTGAAACCCAGCGAAAACCGCAAGCCCACCTAGGTTCCTGAGTAGCCCCATTATCATAAAGGGTGTCCTTTTTCCTACTATTCCGTTTTCAGAAGGGAACCCCAAAACCAAAAGGGCAAAAGGGTACTACTCAGGAACCTAGCCACTTCTAAACCCCAGACCCCGCAATCTTAGGCCCTAAACCCTAAAGCTTTCGGCGCAAACTCTAAACCCTATAATCTTAAACCCTTATCTAAACATCCCTAAACCCTAAACCCCCAAAACCCGAAGAGTTCCCAAGTTAAAATCCGCATTTTCAGCCCTCTGTGAAGCCCACAGCTCGCACGTTGCCTCTTGAGCTTCCTAAAGGGTTTAGGGTTTAGGGTGTGTTTTTTTTGAGGGCCTTTTTGGAGATAGGGTTTAGGGTGTTTTTTTTTGAGGGCCTTTTTGGAGATAGGGTTTAGGGTGCGTTTTTTTTTGAGGGCCTTTTTGGAGACTGCGGGAAGCATTTCAATTGATGAGGGTTTAGGGGTGCAAGTTTTTGGGAAACTCTGGTTGGTTTTGGGGTTTAGGCTGCGTGGCAGGGTTTACGATTCAGGGTTCAGGTCTAGGGCTTACGGCTTCTACCGTCCTTCGAAACCAACACAAAGGGCCAAGCCGAAACCGGCGGCCATCGAACGCTCAGCTTAACACCGGGGCCCGTACAATAATCAATAGGGCCCCTAAGTTATTCGAGGTTCGAAGACAAAGATCCACATTTCATATCTAAAAGTAATTATGCATCCGTGTTATGAAATTGGAAAACCGCCTAGTCCCCTTTCAATTCTTGTAGAACGCCTAGACTGACCTTCAAAACGAGGTGCCAACACGGCCCAACTGGCTCCGGAACGTCTAGGGTCCCTGCAGTCAACAAGGGCCGAGCACGGGGTAGGATCTCTCCTGGACATTTCAAGCTTGCTGTTCAGGCGTTGAGTTGTATGCATGTGCATATACATGCGGATCTTTGTGCACATACATACATACATACAGCTCATCTGAATCTGTTGCATATTGTGTTGAATGAGAAAATGCCTGGTGCCTTGGGTTCTAGGGCCTGCGATGCAGGCTATGGCGCTTAAGCTTTGCTGTGCTAAACCATGAAACCTCAACTGCTCAGCTCTTGTCCATATCCTTCAGACCATACGAAGCCGTGAACACACTATGGACATCCATTAAAAGAAAAACCGAAACCCTAAACCCTAAAATCCTAAATCCCTTCTCCCTTCCATTAACCTCAAAGCATAAAATCCTAGACCCCTCAAACCCTGAAAAAACAAGCCGGAAGGCATCAAAAAACTCCTAAACCCGGAACCCCTAAAGCCCTGCACCTCTAAACCCTAAACCCCTAAACCTCTACAACCCCTAAAACCCTGAACCCGACACCCTAAAACCCACCAAAAAAAACGTGAGGGAGGGCTCCTTTAGTCACGGGGTCCGATCTCATCAATTTCTGAAAGGTCGGGGATCTCCTGGCAGTCCTTTGCTAGAGGTTTTTGTTTTTGTTTGAAAGCTCGTTTCCTTCTGGTGTTAGGCTTTGGGGTTTAGGGATTTAAGGCTTAGGGTTTGGGATTTAAGGGTTTAGGATTTTGGAGTTGGGGTGTTCGGTTTGAGGCTTTGTGGTGGTTTAAGGCTTAGGATGGTTTTAAGGTTTAGGAGCTAAAGCTTGGGTTTTTTTGGTTAGGGTTTTATCCAATGGTTTATATAGGGGTTTTGGGGCTTAGGGCTTTCGGGTTGAAGAGATCGAGGCTTTCCTGGAGTTGGTTCCTAAGAAGCGGCTTTCTTCTCGCTTTGGGGTTTAGTGGTTTGGGGCTAGGGCTCTGTTTTTGTTTGAACGCCTTTTTACTTTTTCCAACTGCAGAACAGGTGAAATCCCTCCAAGGGCAAACGACTGGTGCACCCTCCAGACTCTCGTCGCTCTTCAGCTTAATCTTCACCAGGTGGAGCAGCAGGCACGTCAGGTTCCTCGGACCCTTCATCATGGAACTGCGACAGGACATCAGCCTCCGAATCCATCAAGACCTCCTCCACAGTCTCAGCCACCCTGGGCAGATTAACACCGTCAGTCGACTCGAGCGAGTAGTGGGCATTGGCTGCATCACGAAGTACTCCCCACTGTGCAGACATGGCAACAGTGGCACTCTCCTCACCACACCCGTCATACGCCACAGGCTTGCTCTCCATATTCCCGGGCCCCACAATCATCACTTCACCTTCCTCTGACACCCTCGAAGCCGGCAACGGTACATCAACAACCATGGTCCCTGGCACGTCCCCTTCCATCGTTGCCGGTAGGCCGCCTCCAGCCGTCCGCGATGTGTTCTTCACTGAGCCACCCATCTTTCCACTGACCGAAAATCCTCTCATAGGTACTCATTTCCAGTCGACCCCCTGGAGGAAGCCCACCTAGGGGGTTCTCTAGTTTAGGGTTTAGGGTTTATATCGGGTGTAGGGTGCAGGATTTTGTCTTGGGTTGGGCTCTAAACCCTAAACCGTGGCGTTTGAGGTTTAGAGTATACGGCATGGGGTTTCGAAGATGTCTCAGCTCCCGAAAGTCCGTTTAAGCATCTTCGGATGAAGGCTTTTGATGCGGTTGAGGGTTAAGGAGCCTCTGCAAACAGCATTATAACAGAAATAGAAATCCCTAAACCCTAAACCGTGAGAAAGAAACATAAGCATCATCAACATCATCGCCATCATCATCATGCAGCCCCGGAGCCAACCCTTATTGAAACCCTCAACCCTCGGAGACTCTGAACCCAGAACCCTAGGGCTTCGAGGTATAGGGTTTGCGGCACGAAGTTCGGGGCTTCGGGGTTTAGGGCGGGTTTAGGGTTTAGGATTTAGGGTTTAGGGTTTAGGGTTTAGGGTTTAGAGTTTAGGGTTTAGGGTTTAGGGTTTAGGGTTTAGAGTTTAGGGTTTAGAGTTTAGGGTTTAGGGTTTAGGGTTTAGGGTTTAGAGTTTAGGGTTTAGGGTTTAGGGTTTAGGGTTTAAGTCGCTGAACCAAACCCTGAACCGTCTTCAGCTCCACTTGGAGGTTCAGGGGTAGTTATAAGTGGGGTCAGAAGTCGCCTGATATGGGTTATAAGTATAGTAACCCTACCTTTTACCCTACTTAATATAACAGCCATGAAGCGCACTAATATGGGTTGTAAGTATAGTTACCCTACTTGTAACCCTACTTATAATAACCCATGAACCTCCTATACAAGTATACTGTAGTAACCCTTCACTTCTTATAAACCCTACTTATAACAACCAGTGAACCTCCAAGCACGGCAAGTTTGCCACCCGGCCACGGAGGTTGTCGCCAAGCCAGCTGCTGGCCCATTCGTCAAGTCCACGACCACGTCCTCAGCTCCCAGCTTTAGGGGTTTAGGAGTTAGGGGTTTAGGGCTTATGGGGCTTCGGCGCTACTTGGGCCTGGGTTTCGGGCGTGCAGGTTTCAGGGTTCAGCGCTTCTGGGGTTTAAGCTTCAGGGAATACTGTTGGGGCCTTTTGGGGCCCATAATACTATAACTATAACAAGGAACCCTCCAAAATAGTATTCGTAATTATTTAGGCCCCTAGAGTAGGGGGTCTTCGGGCTTGAGGGATGAGGGCTTACAGAAAGAGGGCTCTGAAGTGCTGTGGGCTTACACTATGGGGGTTTAGGTCGGAGCTGTTTGGGTATATTGTAGGGTTTCGTAGCGGCCTGCGACAATGGTCTCCCTCAGTGTTGGCGGCTTCGGGTAAAAGGGTTGCAACAATAATGTCCGTAGCACGGACAATCACGACGATGATGATGAACAAGAAGAAGATGTGATGGTGCCCCGTTGTTGCGCCTGCTCGCCGGCGGCTCACAACTAATGGAAACCCTGCAAGCGAGAAGAGGATGATGATCAAAATGATTAGAATGACACTCGTTATGGTGATGATTCCACACAGCCACTTCAAGCTTTGAAGGTTTATCGATTGGACGGAGCCTGTGCAGATTTCGGCCAGACCTTCTCTACACCGCAAACTCCTGAGCTCTTAAACCCAAGGCTCTGAAACCCCAAACTCCTAATTGAAGCCCTCAACCCACAAACCCTGATACGGCTCAAGCCGCCGGGGTGAGGAGTTTGGGATGTGACATGTGTGGTTTCTGGGGTACCGTGGATTGGGCTCAGGGTTTGGAAGCTTGTTCGGGGGGTTAATTAACATGCCACAAGCTTCGCGCGAGGCCGTGGATTTGTCCATGGTTTAAGGGTTTAAGTCGTTTAGGGTTTAAGTCGTAGGTCCTGAATTCTGGGTCTAGGGAATCTAGATTCAAATTCAAGGGGTCAAGACTTGCTGTCTGTAAAAAAAATCTACCGAAATAAGTGACTTAAGCCCTACGCCTTCAATCCCTAACTCTTGAACTCGCCCCAAGCGTCCACGATGTCCGCTGCACACTCGATCTTGTGATACCCAGTAACAGTGCAGTCGGCGGTGGCGAAGAGCCTCGAGGCTTGACAGCGCTTCAACTAATGCGAAACCAAAAGGGGGGTTTAAGATTCTTGGGGTGGGGGTTCCTTGATATGAACCCTATTATGGGAACCCTTGTCCCTACTAAACCCCCATAGGCTAAAACCCCTTTTGTGGTCTTAATAACTAGAATAAGGTTTTTTCCATTGGCCTTAGACAAAGGGTGGCTGGGATTGCACGTAGCCCATCCCTGCGGATTCGGGAAGGTTTGGTAGTGTTATCGGCGTTTACGCGGTTAACAGTACTTTAAGGGTTGGGGCGATTCAGAGGTTGGGTTTCAAGGACTAAGGCGCGGGTTGAGGGTTTTGCGGCCAAGCCGGGCGTAGGGTCTATAGATCTAACAGCATCAACCGAGGTCCAGCAAAACATCAGACAGTCCTGCAAGCCAACACCTAAACCCCACAACCCGAATGCCCAGCGCGAGCCCGTACATCAATCTACTTGCACTGGGGTTGTGACAAAATACAACTACCCTTTCAATCGCTCTGGGGTTTGGGCCTCAGAAGTGAGTTTTCCAAAGAATATCCGGAACTCTCACGGCCCTCTTAAACAATGTCCATACTTTTAGGAGCTTCCGGCCTGGGGTTTATGCGCTTGGGGCATTCAAGTCAGGGGGAACTACCGCTAAGGGTCCAAGCGCCTAGGATTTCACAAAATGCTAACCTTGACTATTGTCAAAATATCAAGGGGGGTAATTGTCAAAACTATGGTCCCTTTTTGGGTACCCTAGATATTAGGTGCCGTATTATTATAAGGACCCAAAAGCGTTCTCCCACAATGACCGAGGCAACTCTGACGAACTTGCGAATCCTGGTTGAAAGCAGCGGCAGCTGCTCTCACAGACCGGTGTAAAAATCGATTCAGTAACTTGAAGCAGATGCTCTCACAAACCGGAATAAGATGAAATCTGTAACTTGTAACCTGCAGTGGTTCGTTTTCCTGACAGCGTGGCTGTGACAACTCCAACTCCAAACTGCTGAAGCCCCTGTATGATACAACTCTACAACAGCATTGCCAGTGGGGACCTCAGACAAGCCCCGCATTCTTACGCTCTAAATCGTAAACCCTAGACCCGAAACTTGTACGTTTTAGCCCAAGCGCGTGAACTGCGCGATGGCTGCAAAACTTGAGATAATGTTCCTGGGCTGCCCGGAGTGTGTACCGCTTACTTGGATATCATTCAAACTAGGGGTCAACGAAGGGTTTAGGGATCTAAAGAGCCTTACAAGATGTTCAGGAGTTTGTTCAACATGTCAATGGCTCGGCACCCCTGGGAATTCGGTGCCAAAGTAGGCTCTTAGGGCTTCAGGGGGGGGTGGCAATAGGGGCTTAGGATCTCACGGATCTCACGGATTTCAGGATTCAGGTGGCGGGGTAGTATTCAAATTGAAGTCTCAGACCCAACCTCTGAACCCCCAGACCTCCAGATCCTGATACCTCAGAGGGGGCTGATAGGGCTTATAGGGCTTATAGGGCTTATGGCTTAAATGGCTTATAGGCTTTATGGGGATATTCTGGAGACCTGAGCACCAAAATTCTCAAACCCTTGTAAAGCGCTTCATCCCGAACCTCAGAATCTTACACACGAACCTCCCCGAGCTTCATCTCATTGTCAGTAGAAGCGTGAGTAAATACTCTGCTTGGAGGTTCAGGGGTAGTTATAAGTAGGGTTATAAGTAAGGTATCTATACTTATAACCCATATTAGGGGACTTATAGCCCCACTTATAACTACCCCTGAACCTCCAAGTGGGGATGAAGACTCCCACATGCCCTCGACCCCCCCAAGCCTGAAACCCCGAAGCCCCAAACGCCCCGAACCTTTCGAAGGCCCTACTACGGTTGATGATATAAATCCTGCCTTACCTTAAGGGCCCTAAACTATGGGAATTATGGTATATTCCTTATTATGAGTAATGCAGGATTTATATCATCAACAGTAGTGGCTTCTCGTGTTGCAGCTTCCCCCCAACCAACTTCCGGCAGAGCTTCAGAATGTTGATGGCGCAGGCCCTGCGCTGAGAATATTTTGGGTGGTGAAGAGGAGTTCATTCACTCCTATGCTTGCTTCGCTGAAGATGCCAACATGGCACCTCACAAAAATCGCCTGATGTTTATTCCAATCTCTCTGCGGCTTGTATTGTCGTCGCACGAAGAAGGCGCTTCCAAAACCCCTACTCTCAAAGACGCGAAGACTCTCTGCTTGGCTATGTACACTGTGCAGGACCCTAATTTGGCAAGCTGGCGGACGGGTGAGGGTTGAGGGTTCAGGGTTAAGTTTCAGGTTTAAGTTACACTTCAACCCCAAACCCTAAACCCCATGCAGAGAAGTGCCTGAATCCGAAACACCAAACCCTACACCGTTTCAAGCAAGCGGCGTTGGATCTGGGCAGGCGATGGAGGCCGTCCTAATCCTCGGTTGTTGTTGGTAGCTTTGGGTTCCTGTTGATGGAAACCCTGCATCGTTACGACTACTTGCCATTAAGAATGTAAGATTTTGTCCGTCAACATTACTGGGCTCTTGTTCAGGAAGTTAATTGATTCAAGCTATATACCATAAGACGGAAACCCTATTGTTTACTATAGATCCCCATTCTAATAGCTTGAATTAAACTCCCTAACAAGAACCCAGTCTTTGGGACCTGTGCCCTGCCACCCTACGTAAAGCACACGGATTCATAGGGCCTCCCAAAAAGCACAGAAGCAAAAATTAGAACAGTGATATCCCCATATAAACTCCCCTTATAATGAAGCCCAGCAAGGTAGGGATCTCCCTGCAAAATGCCTATGCTTATGCCCTTTTTGGGAGTTTCCGAAAATAGGGGCCTGTAGTACGCAAAATACAGTGCCGTAGTAGAACCCTTAGTATAATGACCCCAAAATAAGGTACCCCTAATTTTCGGAAACTCCCTTTTTGGTTCCTAAGATTCGAGTCTATCTTCGACTCAAAGGTCCCGCGGTTTCCGGCTGTAACATGGAGGGCCAGTGGCTGTGAGGCGGAAAGGACCTGCAACCCTAAAGCCCGAAGTTTGGGGGGTTTAGGGCCAGGGCCTTTCGGGTTTAGGACTTAGTGTCTATAGGGTTTGGGGTTTAGGGTTTACTGTAGGGTTTGTAGGGTTTAGGAGTTTAGCTCAGGGTCTCTTGCCGAAAACCCCTCAAAACGAAAGGTCAAAGGCATGAAACCCTGGCTACCCAAGTCCCAACTCTCCTCCAATACCCGACCAAAAAGAAGCCTCAAGAGCCCAAGCAGGCAGTTTTCCAGGATCCTCCTCCAAACCCTAGCTAATCTTTTACGGTTAGGGTTTAGGGTGATGCCCAAACCGTATGAAACCCTCAAAATCTTGAACACCTCCTCTGAAAAAAGTCCTAAGTCCTGAGACCTAACTTTTTTGAGAACTATGTGTGGCCAGAAGCTGCATGACGGCCCGGATGAGGAAGGAAGCCTAAATCAGTGCTCGGCGTCGGCTCAGGGTTCGAGGGTTTAGGGTTTAGTGTTTAGGGTGAACTTAGAACCCCAGCAAAAATTATAATTTTAGCTGTTTCTTAGGGGTTATAATAACCAAAAATTAAAACAATATTTCTAAGTACCCCTAAGGAGTTTAGTGCTTAGGATCGCGTCTACCACTACGAAGACTCTTGGGGTTTAAGGATACAGCGTTTATGGGCTAGTGGCTTCAAGTTTAGAAGCGGTGGGTTGCGTTTCAGGAGTTTCTTGATGAGCTTGGTGGCTTTGTTCTTTGGCTGGCATTGAACTAAAACGCTTTGAGCTGACTTTTTTGCTAAAACTGCTGTAGGCTTGGGATTTGTTTCGCTACCTTGTGGTCAGTTGTTCTGTGCGGCACTCAGCTTCGGTCAAGTTGGTCCTGCGGCTTATGTAATGGTTTCCGAAAATAGGGGACCCTAATATAGTACCCTAAATAGTAGGCTCCTTATTTTTGTAAGGGACCCCCAATATCAGGCACCCCCCAATTTCGGAAACTCCTATGTACGTGTTAGCCCAATTGCAGCTGGACCATCTGAGACGTAATACGCCGACAGCTCTCAACGAGGGACCCCAAAAAAGGCATAAGCATAAGTATGTTGTAGGCATATCCCTACCTTCTTAAACTTCATTATAAGAGGGTTTATATGCGATATCCCTATCCTAATTTTTGCTTATGTGTGTTATTGGGGTTCTACTCAATGCTACAGAGGGCTTCAGGTTGCCATCCTGCTTGTGCGAAGCTTGCGGTTTTCGTATTTGGGGTCTACGGCGTAAATCCCTAACCCTGAGCAACCCCCCCCCGCCCCAAATCCGAAACCGAAAACCGCGATGTAGCTCGAGAGCGCTGAGAACTGCTTCAGGTGGGATTGCCCAAGAGACTACTGGATTTATGAAGCTTCATTTGGAGAAGTGGGGCTAGGGATAAGAGATAATAAAGATAAGTGGAAAGGCAATTGGGACGGGAGAAGGCAAAACGAATGCAGAACACAAGGAGCAAGTAACGGCAAAGGCGTCGCCATACGGGCAACAAACGGAAATCAGGTAAACAATGACTGCAAACGGCAATTACTATCACTAAGACAAGCAAAACATCAGATGGAAAGTGCGTGGGCATGTCGACCCAAAAACAACATGAAAGCTTACCAGAACAGATGCGATTCACTGGACAGCGCAGGAGCGTGCTGTTCTGAAGTAATCTCAACAGTGAGCGCACAACATCCGTCTTCTGAAGACATGCTGACCAACGATCCGCGGTAGAAAAAAACGGCTGCAACATACAGCCACATCATACATGACGAATTGAACAGTTTTTGCTCCAACGACCCTTTGCACTTTGCACTCCTGCCATGTAGTTAACATTGGGTGATGCCCTCCTCTCCTAGGAAAGACCTTCGTAACGTAGATGCCGACCCGAAGTGACGCGTAGAGATGAGAGCCAAAGGTTACGGTCCCGCAGATGTGGGGTTTTAGGGGATATGTGCGGCCAGCGACTAAACCCTGCACCCCAAACCCAACACCCCAAACCCTGGAACCTAAATCATGAATCCTAACCCTTATAAATGCTGTTGCTTAACCCTAAACCCTAAGCCTTATACCCTAGACCCTAGAACCTAAACCTTGAATCGTCGTAACCCTTATAAATGCTTTTGCTTATGTCCTTTGGGGGGTGCGGAAACGGTGGTAAGTTCAGCTCAAGAGCCGCTTGCGTCACATCCATGGAGCATTGGAAGTAGTCGAAATCGCGGTTGCGAGTGAACTGGCGGTTTAGGATTTAGGATTTAGGGTTGAGGGTTCGGGGTCGAGGGTTCAGGATAACTGGCGTTTTGGATTTAGGGTTTAGGATTTGGGGTTTGGGGTCGAGGGTTCAGGATAGAAGGTTTGGGGTATAGGCTGAGGGAGCTTCGGCAAGTCCTGGTTGAACTCCTAAACCCAGCGCCCCCAACAACTCCCAAACTTCGGCTCAACCGACTTAGAGGATCATGGGACTTAGTACCTTCATTGGGGTTACAAGTAGGTATGAGTGAAGTTTCCTTAGTTATACTTGGAGGTTCATGGGTAGTTATAGGTAGGGTTATAAGTAGGGCCAAGTAGGGTAACTATACTTATAATTAACCCACATTAGGGGACTTATAACCCTACTTATAACTTCCCCTGAACCTCCAAGTGAGCCCTAAACCCTATACCCGTAGAGAATCCTTTCGATCCCTTTAAAGGGACCCTTAAAGGAACCCTTATAACTACCCAGGGAGCCCAATACCGCTTAATTAAGGAATATACCTTAAATCATAATATGAAGCCCCTTACAATTTAAGGTATATTGCTTAATTAAGGGTATTGGGCTCTCTGGGTACCCATGACACCTCCAAGTAACCCTAGTTCACAAGCCCCGGTAGAGCCGTGGGTCTTCCCAACTCCTACTTGGAGGTCTTTGGGGGTAGCTATCAGTGGGGTTAGAGGATTCCTTACAGGGTTCTATAAGGCTTTATAGGGTTTAGGGTTGTTATAAGTGGGGTTATAGGATTCCATGAAGGGTTCGATAGGACGTTATAGGGATTTTTAGGGTTTAGGGTGGTTACAAGAGGGGTTATAAGTCCCCTGATATGGGTTGCAAGTATAGTTACCCTAGTTATAACCCTATACTTATAACTACCCATGAACCCTAAACCCTATACCCTTGAAGAATCCCTATAGATCCCTTTAAAGGGACCCTACTTATAACTACCCATGAACCTCCAAGTAGAACCTACGAATGTCCGAAAGTCCGAAGGCCATAAAAAGCATATGAAAACGACCGCGGTCCCCGCCCGTTTGTGCTCTTGCACTTTGTGGATCTTCTCCACAGTGGGCCCGGCTCCGGCTGGGATGAACCTCAGCAGCTCAAGCTTTAGGGCTTTGAGCCCAGGGTTTAGGGTTTAGGGAAGGTTTAGGGTTTAGACTCTTCGGGCGTGGGAGGGTGTCATCGGATCTACTGTTGTTAGGGCTCAGGGCATTGGGGTACAGGGTTCAGGGCGAAGGGCTTCGGGTATGTGGCTTGGAGTCGACGGCTTTAGAGGTTGAGGGACTGGCGCTTCAGGGCTTTGAAAGAGGTTCAGGATCTGAGGACTTTCGGTGTTAGAGCATAGGGTTTTCTCGCTTAGAAAGCTTAAGGCTTGATGGCACGGAAGCTGCTGATTAGGATTGGTTGGGCTACACATCCTCACTGGCGATTACAAGCACCATAATCACAACAGTAGCTACCTGGCAGTTCGGTCTTATGACTCCGCTGTGGACCTATCCTCTGAAGCTTGACTGTTTAATGCTTTCAGGATCTTTTGGCAGTCTCGGATGTCGCTGGCACAAGGTAAAGAGATCAGTACGGTCAGGGTACAACTGTACCACGGAGTTTGCGCAGTATCAACCTGCAAAGGACAACGTCCATTCGCTTGTGCCCAACTGGGCTTTGTATTCGTGAGGGCGACAGCACGTTGTTTTCATAGACTTGAGATCTCAAGATAATCGGTCCCAGTTGAGTTATCGTAGCTCTGGTTCAGCATTCAACCCCAAACCCAAAACCCTAAAAGACTCCCATAATCTCCTAAAACCTAAACTCCTAAGCCCCAAAAGCCTTAAACCTAAACTCCGAAACCCTAAACCCCTCAACTCAGTTTGGGGGAGTGGGCTTCTGCAGAGCCAAGGAAGGATTTGGGCCAAGAGCTGGCAACAGTCAGAAACGAGGTCTAAGGCTTGCAATTGGGGTTCAGGGTTTAGGGTTCAGGGTTTAAGGTTTAGGGTTCAGGGTTTAAGGTTTAGGGTTCAGGGTTTAAGGTTTAGGGTTCAGGGTTTAAGGTTTAGGGTCCAGGGTTTAAGGTTTAGGGTTCAGGGTTTCGGGGATCAAGCCTTCAATCCAGAAAAGGCTTGTTTTACAGCCCTCTAAATGGGTATACAGCCCTCTAGACCGTGTAGATCAGTCCAGATGCAGCCCTGTGAGTCACCATCAACCCTGGAAAACCACTGAACAACGACGGTCAACTCCACAACCTCAAAGGAGTTTTAAAGGTTTATTCTTAGTATTCAGGTCTTAGGCGGATTGGCGTTCAAGAAAGACAGGGGCAAACACTTGCTCAGAGCTGCCTAAATTTGGAATGCTCCTTAGAATACATCGGGGGTCCTAGGAAAACCTCGACATACTTAGAATGCTTGATTCAGCGATATTGGAAGATCTGGGAAGTTGCCGCCAGGCCATCAATCCCAAAGTAGTGAACCGTCAACCCTGGGCCTCTGAATCAAACAGTATTTATGTTTCCTCCTCGCTCCTGGTTGGGTCCTACTATCATGGTGCACCAACCCTATTCAAACTATGGAAAAACGTCCATACACTGTATCTAAAGCATCACCGCAAGCTTTTGAGATTGGCCCCGGTGGCTCGTGCCATTTGGGCTTTTCCTCTTCCGTCTTGTCCTCCTCTTGTTTAAGGTTTGGGGCTTTGGGGTTGAAAGGGTTTAGGGTTTAGGGTTTAGGGTTTAGGGCCTAAGGGCACCGACGAGTTCCAGAACCTCGCTGCTGTAGAAAGATCATAGCTCCAAGGCAGGGGCCCCCAACTCCGACATATGGGAGTTTCCGAAAATTAGGGTACCTTATTTTGGGGTCCTTATAATGAGGATCCTACTATTTGGGGTCCTACATTAGGGTCCCCTATTTTCGGAAACTCCGACATATAGTAGAATCCAGAAAATTGGAACATCAATCTCCTCGTGGCCTTAAGGTAAAGCACAGGGGATCCTAGCACGAATCCTCCTGAACCAATGTTCCAACCTTCTGGGATTCGCTGTGTACAGTTACAGGCCTGAGGGAGCTCATACAAACTGAGCCTGTTGGCTCTCGCACGTGGGCATACGTATATGGGAGTTTCCGAAGATTAGCGGTACCTGATTTAGGGGTCCTGATAACAAGCATCCCACTATTTAAGGTACTAAATTAGGGTCCCCTATTTTCGGGAACTCCCATATGTAAGCTCATGATTACTTGTAGCAGGATTAACGTTAGACAACTTCAGTGCCAAGCAAGGCGAGCCTGCTCAATCCAACGCCCTGCCGCCCGAGACCCGAAAATAGGGATGTCGGGTAGGGTTTGCCGTTGTGACCGGGATTTAGGGCTTGGAGTTTGGGCGCTTCGGGTTTAGGGTCCAGCTTGGGATTTCGGGTCCAAGTTTGGCTGCTCGACATATTGTTTTAGGGTGGTTTGGAAAGGTGGGCCTAGCCCCAATGCAACAACCCCTGAACCCTGAGCCTAGAAATCCACAACCAATGAAACCGAAATGCGTCTCCCTCTTAGAGGAACTCTTGACGCTCGACATAACGTCCCGCAGCAGGTAGTCTACAGCAGCTGGCGCGCGATCGCAATCCTCTCACTGGGTGCAGGATATAGGGCTTGCAGGGTTTTCGGGTTTATGCCATTTGACGGTTGGAACGTCGGGTCGGCGATTGCGGGCCTCGTGGGTTGGGGGTCATAAGGTTGAAATGCATTCTGATTCTGGGGCCTGGGAACTGCTAGACTATGATAATGACCGATAACAAAAGGCTGATGATCATGACGATGATGATGATGATGACGATGATGATGACGATGGTGATGACGATGATGATGACGATGATGTGCACACGACGCTTCTCGTCCCACTTCTTCTGACTGTACTTGTGCCACCCACGGTAACGCAACCGGCACCGTGTATGGTGATGACGATGTTCATGGCGAGGCTGATGAACATGACGGTGATGATGTTGATGTTGTTGACTGGTGATGATATGTGATGATGGTGAGGATAAGGGTGAGAATGAGGATGGAGATGATGATGATGATGAGGATGAGGAGGAGTCTCGTGACAACAAGTGTAGAGCTGCCATTACAGTGCCGCCGATGATGCTGCCGCTGCTGGTGTTGCTGCTGGGAAACAATGCACACTGAAAGTCCGAGGAACGAGCACTACGCAGCTGGCCAAACTCCCAAACCAGATAAGCCAAGCCGTTAAGCTGCAAGACTGCCATGCACAGCTCATTGTAGCGTTCAGCGCCTGGCATTGAGGGGTCAAGGTTAAATTTCACTAGCTCATCTCAAAGCCGGTCGTTTTCGATCGCTGCCGCGGCGGTGGCCAGTTCAGCAAAATTCGCCATCCTTGGTGCTTCGCAGCTTGAGCGCTACTGCTGATGGACAAAATCCTGCATGACCCTAAGGACTCTAAACTATGGGAACTATGGTATATTCCTTATAATGGGTAACGCAGGATTTTGTCCATCAACAGTATGGGTGTTGGGTACGGGGTCTGGGAAACAGATTGTTTGGCTTAGGATTTACTTACGGTCAAGCGGCATTTAAAGCTTATAGAGTTTAGGGCTTCGGACAAAGGATGTGACCTATACTGCCGTTTGATGTAGCGGTAGCGCATGTACCGATCTTTGAAACTCGGTCGGCTCGGGGAGCCCCAGCACGGCAATCTGCGTTGGCTGTTTCCAGAAAGGGTTACTTGCCATGTGCCCGAAACCCTCAAACCCACTAAGCCCTTCAAACAAAAAGCGAAACCTGATGAAGCCACACCTCTGTAATCCACTAAAAACCTTTTTACAAATACAGCCTTTGCCGCAGGGTCGCAGCGCTAGGAAATCGCCACTGCACAAGGCACCGGTGTTGATGGCCTGTTTGGACGCTAATTTGGGGTGTTGGGCGCTACCATGGGTGGCTTACTTACCTTTGGTTAGTAGGGAATGGAAGAATAGTAGTAGTAATAGTAGTTATAGTTGTACCCCATTCCTCCATTCCCTACTAACCAACGGTAAGCTTAGGGATTTACGGGTTTCGAGTCTAAGGACTTTCGAGGCCTAGAGCATATAAGATTGAGGGGCTCAGGGATTCGGGGTGTCGGGTTTTCGAGCGAAGGCTTGTATCCTAACCCGGACCCTGGACCGAAACCACAAGAGTATCGATGGATGATGGATATGGCGGATATGGGTGGTTGTCAACATTAGGATCCCGTTTTGGGGTCCATATGATACTACGGCAAGTAATATTTAGGGTACCCAACAAGGGACCCTCATTTTGGCAACTACCCATATGAAAAAAAAAAACTGCCGCCCTGTGCCTTGCCACAGGCATTGGCCGTGAGAGCAAGGAAGGAGCTCACCCACGTAATGGACCTGGGTGTACATGGGAGTTTCCGAAAATAGGGGACCCTGATATAGTACCCTAAATAGTAGGATCCTTATTAAAAAAAAAAACCCAAAATAAGGTATCCCCAATTTTCGGAAACTGCCACATCCACAGAGCCCCTGTTGCCCTTCCCCCGAAAGGCCGCAAGCCTAATGTTTAGGAAGATAACACTTCACTGGATAAGGGGCTCTTAGCAGGGCTTTGAAGTCCTGGAGTATCTGTCCCGACTGCGGCCAGTGCCGCCCTGTTATGCTGATTATCCTTTTCATTTCTTTGCATGCCTGTGTGTGGTAGCAGCGACCATGTTTTTTGCGGAGGCAACTATGACGAACGTTAACAGTCTTGAGATGTTGGAAATGTTCTCTCGATGGCAAGGTGCCTTGCGTTGATCATCATGCCGTTTCCTGTCAATTCCTGCCGCTTCCTACTTTGTGGAGGCCCTCAGCCCTCAAGCACAATCTATGACCCTCAAGAGTCTACACCAGTTTACAACCTCAACTAAGCCTTGGGCCTGCAAAGGGTCCTGAGACCCTAATCCCACCTATCTACCCCCGAGCTCCGCAACCAGATGCTTCTTCTTGTGGTCATAGGCCATAGGCTTGCGGGGTAAGGCAGCTGGTTGCAGGGACTGCTTTCAAGAAACCCGGCCTTTGCCAATGCTTAGCAAACGCACAGGCAGCACTCAACCAAACTAGCAACAGGCTCTTTAGCCTCAGGTAGGTGTAGCGTCTGAAAGACAAGACGTTCAATAGACTAGGCGCCGGGATTGTAAAGGCATCTTTTCTCGGCTCTTATGTGTAAGGAAGCCATCAGCATCCGGTCTTTTTATACCCTTGAACTCCGGTTGACAAGTGACACGAGCTCCTGAAGCCACGCTAGGAAGACTGTAAAATTTAGCAGTCTTACGAAATCCTGCCGTAAACCCTGACACTGTGTATAGTCTGGCCCCAAACCCTAACACCTAGAACTCGACACCCTGAACCAAGGAACCCAAAATTTGCAACCCGGGATTCGTCACGAAGCCGGCCACGCTCATCGCACAGCCGGCGGCAGAGGTTTCGGGGCAGCGACGCTCCTGTGGCTTCGGGTTTCGGGCATTTGTAGGGTTATGTAGACTTGGTTGTGAGGGTTTGATTGGGCTGCATTGCAGGTTCAGTGGCAGTTTAGCGCTTCAGGGTGTGAGGGTGTCTATTTAGGGCTGATGCAATAACCGAAGTTACGGATTGCGGAAGGGGTGTATGAGAATTGCCGGAAGCTTACATAGGATGTTCATGTCTAATCATTAGGGGCGCATGTAATGCTTCTTCTAAGAAGGCTTCTTCGCAGCCTGGGCACCATTAAAGGAGCTAAATAAATCCTGGTAAAATCCTTCGCTGAACATGTGATAAACTGGGTCCTCAGGTGGCTCAAGCATGCCAAGCTTTTTGTAGCCTTTTCTAGCCTTGCCTAGCTTTTCAATGGAATTCCTTAGCCGGGCCCCCGGCCCCAAATCAGGAAAAATCTAGCTTTTTCTAGCTTTTTCTAGCTTTATCTAGCTTTTTCTAGCTTTTTCTAGTTTTTTCTAGCTTTATCTAGCTTTTTCTAGCTTTTTCTAGCTTTTTCTAGTGGATTGGAAAACGCACTGCATGCCACATAATTCCAAGAAAAATCCCCCGCTCAACTAACTGCCAACCCTAAAGCACCAAACAGAACCTTCAATCATACATCCGAAATCCGCCACCCTGAGCCCTTTATCTTCATCCCAAAACCCTCGCCACTATCTCCAAACCCTGAACTCCTGAACCCAAAGCCACAGGTCCAATCGAGACGTCACTGCAGGAAATTATTAGTCTTTTTTAGCTATTTATAGCTTTTTATAGCTTTTCTTAGCCTTTACAAGCTTTGCCTATGTTTTTGACATGTTCCATGGTGTTCTTGTACTTTTCCTGCAATGCTGAAGCGGCCCGCTTGGAAGAGACATGTGATGTGCTCCTATATATAAGCAAAAAAAGGTTCGAGGTGGCTCTAGAGCAGCGTTATGGAGTTGCATGGGTTGTTGCAAGGGTTCGGCCCGATATTCCGCACATTGAAACCCTCCGAAGACGTCCTTTCAGAAACCCCGAGCCCTTAATCCTACACCCTCACATACAACCTTATACCCAAGCAACAATCCCCCACAGGCTTCACCCTTAAATCCAAGAAAACTCTTCTCAACTGCTGCAGGACACTAAAACCCTACACGCTGCCCTGTAGAACTGTGACAGAACCCCTGCCTATTTCGGACAAGGGGCTGGTGAGTCTATCGCACGATACAGGAAGGTGATCGCTTCACCGAGGTAAGCCATCGCCTGCAACATGTTGTCTTTCCTTTTTGTGCCTGCTGTCGATGTTAGTGCTTCTCTCCTTCTAGACTGACTTGAGTTGCAACCAGTTCTTCTGTGAGTTCAATGTGTTATCCGTTTGGGAGGTCTAGACTTCGGGGTTTAGGGTCCGCACACGACGATGGTTTAGAGTTTAGGGTTGAGGGCTTTAGGGTTTAGGGTTTACGGATCAAAATGCGTAGTCTATTGCACTACATAGTCCTATGTAGCTACTGCGAAGTATCATAGAGTAGCCATGTACTTAGGCTAAAGTTTTGGTTTGTGAGACCGGGTATGACAGTCCCGATATGCTTTCACGAGAACTGCGTTGCCAAGTTTTCAAGCGAAGCTCTACATGCCCTAACCGCCCTAAGCTCAGCGAGTCAGCAAGCGCTAGGCCATATAGGCCACATACTCTGGCTCTCCATGCGCACTGCTGCGAAGCCAGCTTTGGGGGTTTAGGGGGGGTTTAGGGCGTTGGGGCCTCAGAGCGTCGGGCTTGATGGTCTCAGGGCTTCTGGCCCTAGGCTTTCAAGGCTAACCGATCGCTGATGGATCATTGATCTGAACTCTGAAGCCCCGCAAGCGCTTGACCGGTTAGAAGAAGGCTTTGCGAGCCACTGCCGCTTTGGAGGTCTTGCCAAAGGGCAAGGAAACCTCAACCTTGCGTTCCACTTCGTTGCGACTGAATCTGGTGATAATTAAAACCCTAAACCCTAAACCCAAAACCCTAAACCCAAAACCCAAAACCCAAAACCCAAAACCCAAAACCCTAAACCCTAAGGACCTGGCTTGCGTCCCACATCCTGCTATCAGCCCCTCAGTGTCCATGCACCCAAATAGTAGATGCATTGGCCCCGAAGTACCTTTAAAGGGACTACATTTACGGCCACTAAAAGGAATAGTCATTACAACCGATAGTTTGGCCAATAGCAAGTGATAGTTTGTTTTCGGTACTTGATCATGTAGTCCTCTACAAAAATGAAGATTGTACACTCTTACTTGGTACCCAGTAAGAGTGGAACACCACCGAGAAGCAAAAAACCTCGATTTCCAGTCTATCTCTCTCATTGCTTTCACACATGTAGTCCTCAGATATGTGTGCATAAGATTTTACATTCTTACTTGGTACCAAGTAAGAATGGGAAATTGTAAATCTTAGGTTCGGCCTGCTTCTGGTCATTATTGCCACTGTGTTTTGGAAGAATCGTTGGCAAATTTCAGAGGTGGTTGAAAGAAACCAAGAGCCTGATGCCCAGAGTTTTTTGGGCCTGTGAGAGAACATGCTGACAAGCTAATATATATATATATATATTAATACACATACTGCATGCATGCACACACACCTGGCACATGGGTGGGTGTGGGCGAACAGGTGGAACCCGACATTTCGAAAACAACACAACCATGCCTGTTCCTTTGTCCTGTTGGTCACACAGACACCATGAAATTCAGCTTGGAATGCCAGTTGCTGCAGGCTTCTAAAGAGTACCCGTCCTTGGTAGGATTCTCAGTGCATTTTGGCCATCCCCACAGATTTGCTCATATCAAAGGGCTGTCAGCTGAATCTTGTCATGATCATGGTTACCATCATTAATGGACCTCAGTCCACTATTCGTAAATCTTCCCGGGCCCACATCAACTTCCCATTTGAAACCACCAAAAAAGCCCTAAATTGCCCTAAACTTGTTGAAACCAGAAACCCTAGCTTAGACCCTAGTACAACAATTTAAGTCTACCACAGGCATCCTGTCAGGGCCTTGCAGGCAAGCTCGGTGACGAGATCCTAGCAAGAAGAGGCCGGGAGTGTTGGGACAGCACAGAATCATAGAGGCACTGGGACAGTGCATAGAGGCACTGTGATAGTGCAAAAAGACAACAGGCACTGCGATAGTGCAAATCAAATCTAGAGGCGCTGTGATAGCGCAAAAACAAGTGGTGTGACTGCATCAGGCACAGCGATTGTGCAAATCCAATTTAGAGGCGCTGTGATAGCGCAAACTTCCAAGGAACCCTCCCCTCCCCTCCCCGTCCCCTCTCCCCTCCTCCCCGTCTCCCTCCCCTCCCCTCCCCTCCCCTCCCCTCCCCCCCTCCTCCCCTCTCCCGTCCCCTCACCTCCTCCCTCCCTCCCTCCCTCCCTCCCTCCCTTTTTCACCCCTTGCCAGACACAGCATTTCTTTTTGAGGCTCTGCCAGCGTGAGCACGGTCAGCAGTGCAGAGCCCCGACCTCGGATGCAGCAGTTTCGATACGAAGTCAGGATAGAACCATTCCAGAATTTGAACTTGGCAACACAGCATGATGTTCCACAGTCATGTGTCGGACATGCCAGTGGTTCTGAAGCAGAGTTTACCAGGACCATGACTGCAGATTCATGTCGGAGCCCAGGCCAGATCTCGATGAACTGTTGGGACCTCGGCAACCGCAGCTGTCAGCACATGCAAAGCTGAGTAATTCATTGTTGCTAGCAGCAGATGGGCACACACATACACAATCTCGATCTCACTGACCGTGCTTGTTTGACTTTTCCCGCCGGCAGCAGAAGTCTTCGTCGCCATCACATATAGCCCGCGAAAAAAACTTCAGACCTCAGAATCCCACTCCCGAGCGACTTGTGGTTCAGTCAGTGTAGTGCGAGAACTACTGAGGTCCCTGCACTGGCGGCGACAACTTCGTCATGGCCTTGATTTGCAGTACACCCACTCCAGCTTAACCCCCAACTGTTGAAGATTTTGCGGCAAGCTGAACATACATGTGTGCTGGCTGCATGTGCTAGGGTCCCTGCCTGTCACTGTGAGTCTGAGCGCTTTCGTTTTGATCGGACCTTGTTGCAACATAACATACACAGACCTGATCTTGATCTTCATGTATGCTTCTGAGTCTCCTGCGTGTGATGACGACTCTGAGTCACTCTGTCTCGACACCTGGGCAGGCACCATCTAGACATCCAGCCTGTCTGAGCTCTCTGATTCAGGCAGCCGCCACTTCGGTGGTCGAGGATCGCTCGGAGGCCTGAGGGTGAGCAATGAAGTAGGACTGATACCCAATGCCAACTTGAGTGGGGCCACTGCATTTGCCGGTGACGTGGGTGATGGCTCCTCTGCTGCCTACAGATCAGGTTGTTGCAAGGCACATAAGCTACTATGGAGTGGGAGTAGAATGTATGGAGCCGGCATTGGAAAGAACTTTCAAAGTGTCTGAGACCAAAGCCTGGCAGTGAAGTCTGAGTTGAGCAGTCGGTAATGCAAAAGCAAACATTGTGCAATTTCCTGATGTGTGTCTGGGGCCTGCGATTCTTTGATCTCATCCTGGAGGACTTGAATCTCTTCATCCTGCCAGATGCAAAAGCTGTCGGAGCCCCAATCAGTCATGTTGCTCGGCCTTCCGGGCCATCAGAGTGTTGCACCGCACCAGCATGTCGTTTTCCACCATGCGTGCAACTTCCTGACATAGCAAGGTGAACGAAGCATGTTAATATAGTTCAACTCGCTAACTAACAATAAATCCGGCCTTCCTAGCATATGCTTCATGGCATGTGCTTCGAGTTTCCACCTGGCCTTGTTCTCCTAGCAGCACATCACAGTAACTGTGAAAGCAAGATCGTGTTCACTGCTTGCCTGGATTGCATGGAGATCTTTGTCCTTCTGCTGCAGCACTGCCTGTGACAGTTCTGCAACATATGCTAGATTGCATTCACTTTGTCTTGACCCGCCTGGGCTTCCTTCAGCTCTTTGTCCTTTTCGTCAGTGCACGCCTGTCAAAATGAAATTCTTCAACATACGGTAGATTGTATGGACCCGGAATGCTTTCCTGGGCTGCATGGAGTTCCTTCTCTTTCGCCTTCAGGGAAGCCTGTGGACACTGTGACACTTCTGCATTGCATTCACTTTGTCTTGACCCGCCTGGGCTTCCTTCAGATCTTTGTCCTTTTCGTCACTGCACGCCTGTCAAAATGAAATTATTCAACATACGGTAGATTGTATGGACCCGGAATGCTTTCCTGGGCTGCATGGAGTTCCTTCTCTTTCGCCTTCAGGGAAGCCTGTGGACACTGTGACACTTCTGCAGTGCACAACTTGCCAACAACGAACCCCTAATCGCCTCCAGGCTTGTGACCATCTTTTTGCAATCCTCAGAAAAGGGCTTGCAGGATGAATGTGTGATTGTGCATGGCTACCATGCCTCAAGCTGCTTCTTAAGGTCGTCGTTCGACTTCAAGTGGGCCTGGCAAGAAACCACTTGAAGAATGAGCTTCAAACTGTGTGGAAACCGGGCAGTAAAGGCCTCCTCTGCGGACTTGGCAGCCATGAGGTCCAGATTCAAGTTGCGCACTCGGCCCTGGAAACAAACAAGGCATTGGACACAAGTTTCACTTGCACAACACCAACACAAACTAGTGGCCTCCGCCATCTCGGCCCTCTCCTTGTAGTCTTTGTTGATGCCCTGCCCAAGAAAAGGTTTGTTCTGGGGACCGCGAATGATGGGATTTCCCTGCCCGGCCCTGCCTTTCAAAGAGTCAGCTGGCGAACCATGTGGTCCGATTCGCTCTGAACACTCGCCAGCCGTGCTTTGAGATCCTTGATGTCTTTCAAAAGTGGAGCCCTGATCGCCTCACGCTCAGCCTGGGTCCGTGTCCTCTCCTGGGTTCCGTCCTCGAACCTGGCACGCAGGGCCATCCCGCCCTGCCTGCCCTTTGCCTGCACCGTCGTCCTGCTTCCACCACCTTTACCCTTTCCCACTTCTTCTCCTTGCTCCTCACCTTCATCCCAGGAGCCACCATAGCCGTAGTCCCAACCGTCCCAGCTCGACCCATACCTGGACATGCTTTTGGCTATATTTTATCGTCAGACTCCGAAGAAAAATCGTCGGGGCTGGCAAAATATCGTCGGGACATCAAAGCAACCCAAAATATAGTCGGGAATGCATTTCTGGCCAAAATATCGTCGGGACTCCGGAAATATCGTCGGGACTTCGGAAATATCGTCGGGAC